TTACCAGTTGAATGGGATAGAAGAGTCTGATACTATCTAAACATTACTTCATGTAAGTGACAGTGGCCTGTTATTATACATTTTATTCATTTTATTTTTTGTGTTTTCTGTTTCCTATTTTTTATATTTTATGTATTTATTTAAATGTTTTATTTGCTCTTTTTAAATGGTGCCGGGCTGGCCTAGTCGGTGGAGCGGGCAACCCTTGATTGCAGGGTTGGGGGTTCCAGCCCCATGTCAGGTGTAGAGATTGCTTAGAAATAAAATCTTTAAAAAAATGTATTTCAACCTATGTCTAGGAAGAGAGCCAGTTGAGAGAGGGGGTAAGACAATAAATTGAAAAGAATCATATTAAGTCAAAGCCTCCTTAGTTAATGATAGAATCCTTAGCACCCTTCTCCTAATCAGCTCCCGGTTTACTGGTAGCCAGTACTATACCCTTCAGGCAGGAAATTGAAGGACTCCCTTTTCGGAGAACCAGACTGGACCACGAGAAGACTATGGAGACTGACAGGGTTTTCCTGACAGTCACTGGTGATCTCAGTGAAGTCCCCCACATGAAACTTGCCATCACATTTTATTCTTAATGCTTATTAAGTCTCATTCTTAAATATGAATGGACAGTAAAGGCCTCCAGGCCTGGGGGAAAGCTTTTCACTTGAAAAGCAGAGACCAAAACAATCATGTAAGCCAAGAAAGAAATCAGAAGAAGCAGAGACAATCGAACAAACTGAGGAAGACTTTAAAAGGAAACCCCAAAACTATTACTAATGTCCATAGAGAAGTGAAAGAAAATACTGTGCCCATGAAACCAAAACAAGGAGAGGAAATTAGACAAGTGAAAGCTCTTAGAATTGAACCTGTCATATCAGAAAATAATAATTCAGCAAGGCTGGGAAATAAGGTAATGAGGCACTCACAAAGAAAGAAGGACAAACAGCAATCAGAAAGTGTGAGAAAAGTTGAATAAAATCAAATGATCAATCCAGAAGCTTTTGCCTAATAGGAATTCCACAAAGAGAAGACAGAAAAAACAGAGGAAGAAAACAATATAAGAAAATTTCCTAGAACTGAAGGACGTGGGTTTTTCTGTTTTAAAGTGCCCACCGAACACCTAATAAATGAGTGGAAAACCAAAACACATGCACACACCCAATAAAGCTACCACTCTCCTGATTTTCTCCCTTTCTTACTGTTGTTTTTGTGTATCTTTCCTTAGTATCTCTTCCTCATTACACCCTTAATGCTGTTTCTGTGTTTTCTGCCTTTGACTTTGACCTTTTCTCACTATCTTCTCCCCTCATGTATCATGACATCAAGTCTGATATCTTTAACCACGTCTCTATGTTAGTGGTTCCCAGATGTGTGAATCTAGTTGTTTCTTTCTCTTGAACTCCAGACCTGCTTCCTGGACTCTCTACCCTGGTACCTAGTAGTCCTCACAAGTGTGTAAAAGTGAACTTATTTCCTTACCTATTCTCTTTTTGTCTTTTTATGAGCCCAGTATTTTCCTGTATTCCCTATCACAGGAAAATACCATTTCTACAGTGTTGCAAGTCAGAAATATAGGAGTTTAAGTATCACCTTGAGCCCCTCCATTTTCCTGACCTCTTGTAGTCAATCAGTATGTCCTTTTATTTTTTTATGTTTTTATTTTTTATTAAGTTCAACCAGCCAATATATAGTAGTACATCATTAGTTTTTGATGTAGTGCTCAATGATTCATTAGTTGCATATAACACCCAGTATGTCTTTTTAGATCTTTGTGGTGATAAGCCCTGTGTGTCCCACATTCCCAGGAAATCCTTCTTTCATTCACATGTATGCAGGGACAAGCAGGGTCATTGTGTGTTTGGGGAGGAAATCTGTAGCATGAAAAAGGAGAACAAAAATAAGCTGATGGGGGCGCCTGGGTGGCTCGGTCGGTTGAGCGCTGCCTTCAGCTCAGGTCATGATCCCAGGGTCCTGGGATTGAGTCCCACATTGGGCTCCCTGTTCAGCAGAGAGCCTGCTTCTCCCTCTCCCTCTGCCTGCCTCTCTGCCTACTTGTGCTCTCTATCTCTCTGTCAAATAAATAAATAAAATCTTAAAAAAAAAAGCTGATAGAAGAATTAACCCTAAAGATAGCATTTTAAAAACTCAAAGTAGTAGCCTCACATTTAAGATGCTACTGCAAATATAAATAAAATCAGACTACTATGACAAAGGAACAAGAAACAAAAAAGGAAATTTTAAAGGTTGAAAATATGGCTGTCAAAATAATTCTGTAGTCAGGGTTGCGAGATAAATTAGAGAAAAACTCTTAAGAATTTAGAGAGTAAAAAGACAAAAAGAAGGAAAATATGACAATAAGAAATAGGACATTATGTCTAGTTCAACATTCTGCTAACAGTAATTCCACAAAAAAAGAAAATAAAGAGGAAGAAGCTATCAAAGAATAGTGGAAATTTCCAAGAGCTAAAGCTACTCAGTGCCGTTCAAAATTAAGGTATCCTGGGTGCTGAGCAGAAGGCAGATAGATATAAATGACACAGATACAGAAATATAGATTATTGTGAAATTGTAGAGCACCAGGGATAAAGACAAGGTCTTAAAAGCCTCTAAAACAAAGGGAAAGTGCAACCTATGAGGGAACATCATCGGCATCATCCGGTGTTGGAAGAAGCAGAGCAATGTCTTTAAGGACTTGAAAAGAATTGCATGCCCAGCGAAACTACTAAGGGTTAGAAACAAAATCAGTTCATTTCCAGACATGCAAGGACTCAGAAGGTCATGCTTTAATTAGAAATAGCTGATCGATTTGTTCACGTTTTCTGAACATTTGCTACTATTTTCAAAATCCTGAAAGCCCTCTTGGCCATCCTATTATATGGAATAGAACATTTTCTTTAAATATTTAACTATCTTTTCTGGTTTGTTACTTTTTTAAACACCAAACTCTGTTAGTCTGCTAATCTCTCTGATTTTCTTCACCCTTTTCTTAGAATTTCCCTTGTGCCTTGTTTTAAAAATCTTGTCTCATGGTTAATAATCTCCTTCTTTATATTTTTATCTAAATTCTGTTATTTCCATAACTAAGATAACTTTTTATAATACATGAGGTTGTATAAATAACAGCCACAGAAAACAGAAGCTGTACATTTTGGGGGGATGATTTTTTTCCTGTTATGTTTTAATTTTACCAATACAGCCTAAATCTTCCTGCTTTCCTCCCTTCGTTTTTTTTTTTTATTTAAAAATTTGTGATTATATTTATAAACATATAATCATAAAGCTTGCTGTTTTAACCATTGTTAAGTGTACAGTTCAGTGGTAATACTACTTAATATCACATTCACAATGTTGTGCAATTGTCTCCACTATTTTCAAAACTTTCATCTCCTCGGACAGACTCTGTGACCATTTAGCAATAACTACCCATCTCCCTTTCCCTCAGCCCCTGGTAATCACTAATCCTCTCTCTATGGATTTGCTATGTCTTGCTTTATTATGCATCACTGCTAAGAAGTGCAGGTAAGATATGTTACATAAAATATTTCTTTACAATATACTTCGCTATCATTATCTGTAGAGTCTGTCAGTGTTATCTATCGCTACATATCAAATTACCCCAAAATTTAGTGTCTTCACACAACAGTATTCATATATCATTTCTTATGGTTTCTGTGGGTGAGGAATTCAACCAGGGTGTAACCAGGGTGTAATGGAGATGATGTGTCTCTGCTCCACAATGACTGGGGCCTTTGGTAGAAGACCCCAAGTCTGAGATCTGGAAACATCTCAAGGCTCATTCAGGGACGAGTCTGGCAGTTGATGCTGTCCTGTAACCTAGGGGCCTACCAGGAGTTGTCAACTTAAACAACCACACATGGTTTGCTCTCTCTCTTAGGCTTCCCCACAACATGGTGGTGAGGCTCCAAAGGCAAACAACCCAAGACAAAAAGAGGAAGAGATTCAGAATGCCAGCAACCAAGTGAAAGCCATGTAATCGTCAATGACCTAGCCTCAGGAGTCACACAGTGTCGTTTTCACTGCATTCTATTGATTGAGACAGTTAGAAAGATTCACCCAGGTTCAGAGGAGAGGAACACAGACCCCACCTCTAAATGTAGCGTGTCGGTGTCACATTGTGAGAAGAGCATGTCAAATAGGATAAGAACTGGTGTGACCATCTTTGGAAATGCAGTGTGTATCCACCATGGTACCCCTAACAGGAATTCTCTAAAATTGACTCCTTATCTTCCTTCACTGCTAGCTAATCACTTGTGGAGATATGTATCCCACTTTCTCTAATAAGGAAGTTGAGATTCACACATTGAAAAGAAAACAAAAAACACGAGATAATGATGGAGATTTTCTTAGAAAAGGGAAATATATTTCTTGAAAGCAAGATAATTACTAAGATGTGTCTGTTAAAGAAGCAGCTCTAATTAATCGCTTTAATGCTATTTGAAAAAATGCTTCCTAGTCAAGAAAACATTTTAATATGAAAAACGTTGTTAATGAACACTGTATTTATAGTTTGGGCATGAAACCATTTTGGTAGGTTCTTGGAATATTTAAATATTTAAATACACAATTTTCCTTTCCCTGACATACCTCTAGAGCAGACAGTTGATGAAGTATAATTTTATTACATAAATTCTGTAGCCACGTTACCTAACATCTCTAAAGCTTTAGTGTCCTCATGTAAAATACAGGAAGAAAACTAGTACCTGTCTCACAGAGCTGGCATGAAGATTAAATGAGTTAATCTATGTAAAGTGCTTGGCACACTGTAAGTGCTAAAAAAAAAAAAAAAAGACAGGAAGTATATAGATGTGTTAATGTTATTCTGCATATATGTATATATGAAGAGTCATAGCATAATTGAATTCATTTCCAACAAGGTATTCAAAAGATAAAGGAATATGGTTACTGAAAATAGTTGGTTAATCTGTTTCATTTAGGAAGAACATATTAGATGGCTTTTTAATTTGATAACTGTTTGTTTTTCCTAGTTTGAAAAAGAGAAGCAGCATGATATTCGATCATTCTTTTTACTAAAACCTAAGAAAAGACAGTTGGTGACCTCCTGCGATGAATCAGGAATATTCCAAGAGAAAAATACTGTCGTGCCAGCAGACCCTGGAGAAAGAGCCACAAGACATATCATTGATTATGAAAGCAATGTTGAACCTGAAGCTAAAAGATTGAAGTCGGTCACCACCAGTAACCACTGCAGTGCCCCAGAGGAGAAACCATCCTGGCCCAGACAAACCACGGCCCTAGCTCAGGCAGCCAGCCCACCCTTTCCTGGAAAGTGCTGGCAGTGTGGTTTCTGCACCTATATCAATAACTCGGTGTTACCTTATTGTGAAATGTGTGAGAACCCTCCAGGCAGAGCTGGTGAGTACATGGAGCATGGCCCCTGGGAGGGGGCTGGCAGTATCATCTTCACATGGTCTGTGTTTTTAGAGGCAACTGCTGTTAGCATGGGTTAGTGGCACTCAACACTGACTTTAGCTGTTAAGCTAGAGTAAGAACTTTACATAGTGAAGACTGAATTTATCCCCCGGTGGAATGTGGAAAGCTCCCAGTTCTGTCAAGAATGTATATCCCTGAGCGTCTGTGACATGGCATTAATTTGGCACAAATGGACATTTCTCATTAATGCCAGCAGGATGTGAATTCAGTGGGCAGGAATAGAAGCTCTGTTGCTATGGCAGCAAATATGCCTTATAGTCATAGACCTGCTGTTTTTTTTCTCCTGTAGATAATACTTGTTTTTAAAGAAATTATAGATTATTTTTGTTTAAATAGCAAAATAATCCAGTGTAGCTTCTTTGCCTAGTAAAATATACATTGTGTCCTGTTTCTTGCATGACAAATCATAAAAATTCCTCTGTAGATCTTTGAAGAACCAAATTGGTATCTGTTTTCTGAGTTTATTCTTTTCCAAAACTTGCTTTTTTAAAAGTAAAAATTATAAACATACCTCAGAGTATGTTTTTATAGCATGGTATTATTCTGATGTTTTGTTTTTGAAATGATTATTAATACTGAGGTTGTCTTAAGAAAAAAGATCATTAGTATTTCTTTTGTTTCCAGTTTTAGAGACTATTTTCATGGCAACTCAGAAGGCCAAGTTGACAGTTGGGGAAACTGGAAGAAATCACTTTATTTTATCAGTTGTAATAATTGTACACATCTCCTTTCCCGTCATTAGAGAAGTGGCATTAATAGAGTCCGCTAAGATAAAGGCTCTGCTTGCAGTTCCTTCCTATCTTTCTTGTTCTCCTGTGTCTTAGTTTTAATCTGAAAGGAAATGTAATCAGTAGCTGAGTCTTTCCTCTTTCAATCCTGGGTGTTCCTACAAAAATGACAAGTCTGCCATCTGGGTGGTTATATTTGTAACGTGGACACCTGTTGTCTGTGAACTAAATTGGAACTACAAGCTTATCCCATATAATATCTCTCAGAATTTGCATTATCTCATTCAATTTCCAACTACTCCAGGTCATAAAAATAAAGTATCTCATGACTACAGGATAATGCCAGTTCACATAGAAGTATAAGTTGAGTGATTTAGCAATGAAAATCAGAGTTTAATAGGGTTTTATAGTTCTGATTTTTCTTTGTGATACCAAGAGCAACAGCAAAAATTTCTAGACCCTTGATTTAATAAGCAAACTCTCAAGCAACCTAAAGAAAAATGAAACTTTTTTTGTGACTTTGAAAGTCTGATTTAATAGAAATACATATATGTAATAGTGATACTACTGTATACAAAAGGTTATATTTATTAGGTTAATATTATTGGACTTGGCATAATGATTTCCAACCCTGATTTAGGATGTACCCCCAAAAGTATTGAAAAGCAGAATTAATTCTAATTCATCCAAACTTTTTAATCAGTGTTTGCCATACAATACTTTGAGGAAATGGAATCCAGAAAACTAAAGGAGAAGGGCGCCTGGGTGGCTCAGTCAGTTAAGCAGCTGCCTTCGGCTCAGGTCATGATCCCAGGGTCCTGGGATCAAGCCCCTCATGGGGCTTTCTGCTCAGCAGGGAGTCTCCTTCTCCTTCTTCCTCTGTTTGCCACTCCCCATGCCCGTGTGCTCACGCTTGCTCTCTCTCTCTCTCTCTCTCTCTCTCTCAAATAAATAAATAAAATCTTTAAAAACAACAAAAAAAGGAGCAATATTAGGAAATTACACTCCTATAAAGTTTGCTAATACAGTCTCCAGGACGTTTAGTACATTCGGTACAATTTGGTATAGTATATATTGAACACTAATATATGTCAATAGGTAACCCTTACCTTGTGCTTTGTTTTTTGTTGTTGTTTTGTTTTGTTTTTGTTTTAAGTAATCTCTGTGCCCAACATGGGGCTTGAACTCATAACTCTGAGATGTCGAGTTGCTTGCTCTACTGAGCAGCCAGGTGCCCTCTTTGTGCTTTGTTCCTAACGTGCACATAGCTCATACTTGCCATCTTACAGCTCATAGGCCCATATTTCTGTCGCCTGCTTGAACCGCAGCTCGTGCATACGCCTCCGCCTTATCTGCCCTGCTCATGTGATGGGTGCCTCAAGGTGACCATGGCCGCGGTGGAGTTCTTGATTCACCACATCTAACACCAAATCTTCTTTTCTCTCATCATACGTCCATGATACTAGAAACCCAGGCAGCGTCCTTGATTCCTTTCTCTTCTCCCACACTTGATTTGTCAGGTTCTGCCAGCATAACTTCCAAAGTCTATCTCAATTCTGGCCATGTCATCTTTGTTGCTATCATCCTACTGGAAGTTACCATTTTCTCCCCCAGACCTCAGTGGCCTCACAGCTAGCCCCCCTGTGGCCCTTCAGTACAAGCAGCCAGGGTGAGCTCTTAAAAACTCAGATGATTCCATTCCTTTATCTACAACCCTCAGTGGCTTCGTTTACATTTATAATCCAGTTTGAGAATACAGACCCTTGGGCTGGGCCTTCTAGATTCCCAAACAGCCCTCAGCTCAAATGGAACTCAACCCAGAGGTTGGCCCTGTGGACCTTTATTCCCCAACAACCCCTGATTACGAAACCTTGTTTTATTTTCATGTTTTACTTCCCTTTTTCTTTATTCATTGGCCTTTATTCTCTTTCTCTGATGTATTTGTTTCCTTGGTGATTATCTGTTTCTGATACTTACAATGGAAACTCTAGGAAGCAAGGATTTGTCTATCTCATTCCTCACTGCCTGTCCGGCACCCCATCATTTGCACATGGGGCATTTAGTGTCTCCCAACAGGTGTTTGCAGAGAATGAATAAACACTATTGACCATGCTTCCTTTTTTTTTTTTTTAAGACTTTTATTTATTTGACAGAGAGAGCACAAGCAGAGAGAGGAGCAGGCAGAGGGAGAGGGAGAAGCAGGCTCCCCACTGAGCAAGGAACCCAGTGTAGGACTCCATTCCAGGACCCTGGGATCATGACCTGAGCCGAAGGCAGCCACTTAACCGACTGAGCCACTCAGGCATCCCAACCATGTTTCTTTTTATAAGACCTAGCTGTAACTTTTTAAAAACTGGCCTTAGAGTAAATAATGATTTTATCTAAATTTGTGTGTAAATTGTTTGATTTTCGTAATTCTCCAAATAGACAGCTCTACCCAAGATAAAAATGAAAACAAGAAAGGTGATCCTGGGAAAGACACCTCCAAAAACGTTTGGACTAGTTCTGACCGTGAAAAACAAGTCCTTGCACCCTCAGAGCCTAACCCGTTGGCTGAGAGCCAGGAAGCAATATCAGAAATCAAGAGAGAAGACGCACTCACACCCCAGCCAGGCAATGGTAAGTCTGGTTTCCACTTCCGGTGTTCAGATACTAAGTATGCATGTAGATAGATGACACTGTGGATAGACTTGCAACTAGTACCCCATTCCAGGTTCCTTGTATTCTGATTTATATTAAACATACCAACAATTGGAAGCACACACTGAAATACCAGACGGCTGGAAGAGCAGAGCTGTGCGCGTTCAGACATAACGCAGCAGAACTGACACGTAGCTCTGCCCGTGCTGCCCCCAGGCTGCTCGCCCAGCCTCATGCAGGTCGGGCTTATCCACAAGTGAGGGTGTGGTTTTGACACTTAGGAGGTTCTTTAGGACAAAATATTAAGATTGGCATGTTAACAGCTACTTAACAGATCATTAATTGTTTGCCCACGAATTTCTTTTAAATGGTTACAACTAATTGACCTAGTTTAAATTTAGGATTTGGGGTGGTTTTTTTTAAGAAAACGTTCTTAAGGTACATAAATTTAAGACTATAGGAATCATGACTGCACTTGGAGCCAACCATGTAGTGTTTGGATTTATTTATTCTTTGGTTGATTCCATCCATTACTTCAAGCTGTGATGGTTGGTGCATACCCGCCCATAGGTCACACAGCACTGTTGTTATGTGTGGCCAGAGCTGGAGTTCACGACTACTTTGGGGTTATTTTCTTTGTTTATCGGTTAGTGACCATAGTAACCCACAGACTGATGTTCTCATTATAACAACACCAAAATTGTTGAGATGGGACAGTTAAAGTTTTTCTTCTAAATCAGTTGCTATTAAACACAGATATAACTCAGAGTCAGATTCATAGTTTTAAAATGAAATGTTCATTTAAGAATTTCTGAGCTTGGGGCATCCTCCTTTCTTTTTCCCTCAGCCTTCCTTCCCGCTAATGCCTCAAGGTCTTCTCAAATAATATCTTGGAATGGACCCTCTTTTAGATGTGTTAATTTTAACAGTCTTTGGGTATATGGTGTAGTCTCAGGTGGGGCTTTCCTTCCTCCTGCTCTGACACTCCTTCAAGTGCTGATGAAGCCCTTGTTGTAGGACAACATGTAGCTCACTGGACTGAACATCTGACTGAGAACAAACAACTTATGGGCCATGAGTCTCCCCATGTGTGGCAGAGAAATTCTGGTTTGATAGTTGGAAATTTGTTCCTTGATAAAGGCAGATGCTAGGTTTACTTAAACATACTTTTCAAAAATCTCTAGACCTTTAGAAATTCTGTTCTGCCAGTGAAATTTGCATTGGTCTCATCCACTCCAGACAACGCCATCTTTTCCCCCATACCTTCCCTCTCTTCCTTTCTTTGACTTCTGAGATCACTGGGCTGAGAATTCCATACAAGCGATATGTTCACCTCTCCCCACTAACATGGATTTCCATGGGAAAAAAAAAAAAAAACAGAAGGATGACAGAGGGGGTACACTATATAAAAATGTTTATTCTGTGCACATAAACTCTTCTAGACCTGCAGTGGCATGTGCTTTGCAGGGACTCTGGTTTTGTTCTAACTGGAATTCCTTGGGTTCTATGAAGCACTTGGTTATTCCTTTGCAAGAATATAAAAAAACTTTGATTATTCCTCCAGTGATGCATATTTACTTCTTTAATATCAAATTTATGCTCTCCTGCTTTATGTGCAAAATTTTTTGGTATGCATGTTGACTTTTTATTTCAGTACCAAATCATAGTGAAATATTTTGAAGACATTTTAGAGGTAATTAAATTCAACTCATGTAGTAACAAACAACACATTTGACTCAAGTGTGGTGTTGAAGTATTGTACAGTGGTACTGTAGTTATGATTAAGCTCATGTGTGCTCAGGCAATGACAACCACTTCACAACTGCCACCTGGCCAACAGTGATTATAAAATGGCACGATTATTGGCTGTATAACATGCCAATTTTTGAGATGTTAAAGCATGGAAAAAAACTGACATTTTTGAACTTATGAAATATGGGAATAGTCCCAAGTTTGTAAAATGACCAGTGGCTTGATTAGAAAAATTAAAATATGATAAGGTTGCCAAGTAGAGTGAAAAATCATAGACTTCTAGATCTATGGGAACACATTAAAAGGTCACTGAAGAAAAAATAAAAAATAATGATGATGATGAAAGTCATTTAGAAACTGTGGCAGAGGTGAAGGGCACAGGCTCTGTAGCCACATTACTGGTCTGAAGCCCTCTTACTGGTGGTGTGACTTTGGACAAGTTAATGTGCCTCAGTTTTCTCCTCCGTAAAATGCACTACTTATTTCTGAGAGCTGTTAATGTATGTACTGAGAAAAGTGCCTGGCACATTGTAAATACTTGATAAGAGTTAACCATAATTATTATTTAGATCCACTGTGATAACCCTCTCTCTCTCCATATATATTGGTCAGTGAGACTGAGAAGTGGTAAATAAGATTATCAGAAAAAAAGCTTGTCCACATATCCCCTTTGGTGAATGTGAAGCACTGGGTCATAGGGAATCTGGCATTTAAGTGGGATTTCACAGGCTGCATTGCTGCTGGTAACCAAAATGGTGCTCCTGCAGTCCCAACTTAAAACCACTCTCGGGGAAGCCCAGATTCTAGACTCCTTTAAGACCAGTACGAACTCTTAGTGGCAGGAAATTCTCTCTCATACCTAACTCCTATCTTTTCAGCTAATTCTGAATTTAATTCTCTCTTGTAGGGTCATTAGCAAAAGTACAAAGCAACTGGTTTCTTTATAAGCCAGTGTGGTCTTAGGTGGCCTGCCATCACAGTTTTATTTTAAGCGGAGACACGTGTTCTTTGTCAAATATGGTGATACATTTTATATAGCTCTTTCATCTTTCTAACCCATAGAAGATTGAAATAAGCTATTTTGGTTAAAGGAGAGGTAAACCTTCAGGTCCTTTTTTATCTTCTTAATTAGAACAGTTGAAGAGTTCAGACAACTTGCCAGTGTATGAAACCTTAATGTTCTGTGCAAGTAGGAATACGGACCGGATTCACCTCTATACTAAGGTAAGCATTATGCAGATTCTGTACTTGAAACATACAAAAGACTTCCTTTTTCTCATGTTTCAGTGGAAATATTTAATTTCATTAACAATGAGATAGGTATCTGGTTCTTTTTCTTCTTAAGCTAATTCTAAAATTCCTTTGTTAAATCTAAAGTCAATGAGAGGAGAAACAGCATATAGTAGTTAAGAGCACAGACTTCAGGGCCAAACTGCCTCAATTCATAGCTGTTACTGGGTGTGGAATCTTGAACCTATTCCTTAACTGCTTTGTGCCTCAGTTTCCTCAACTGGAAAATGTGGAGAGAAGTTGTTGCAAGGCAAGGGTAACATGAACAAATTCCTGTAAATCGCTTAGCACTGTGGCTAGCCATAAGGAACTCTCAGTAAGAGCTCTAGTTGTGTGTCACACACACACACACACACACACACACACACACACACAGCTACACAATGGCATATTATGCAGCTATAAAAAAAGAAAAAAGATCTTTCCACTTGCAACAACATGGTTGGACAGGGAGGGTGTGATGGTAAGTGAAATAAGTCAGACAGAGAAAGACTAATACCTCATAATTTCCCTTTTGTGTGGAATCTAAGAAAGCAAAACAAATGAACAAACAAAGCAGAAAAAGACCCCAAATCAGAGAACAAATGGTGGTTACCAGAGGGGACAGGGTCGGGAGGCGGGCAAAATGGGTGAAGGGGAGTGAAAGTTACAGGCTTCCGATTATGGAGTAAGTCACAGGGATGAAAGCGACAGCACAGGAAGTACAGTCAGTGATACTGTGATAGTGTTGTATGGTGACAGATGGCAGCTACACTTGTGTGAGCACAGCGTAATGTATAGACTTGTCAAATCATCATGTCGTACACCTGAAACTTATATAACATCATGTCAACTGTACTTCCAAAAAAAAGTTAGATCCTTCACGGATCATTTGTAGCAGCCACAGCACCATTGCAGAAGCCTGACTCTGCCCATCCACGTCGAATACATTCTAGGAAGCTTTAAAAATTTGATTGCTCAGTTGCATGCGATAGCCTAGGTTAGTGGTGCTCAAACTTTTTAGTCTCAGGAGCTCTTTGTACTTTGAAAATTTGAGAACCCCAAGGAGCTTTTTTCCTGTGGGTTATATCTGTGAGGAGAGTTGGCATTGTTTTACATTTTTTTAAAGATTTTTTTAAAAATTTATTTATTCTAGAGGGACAGAGAGAGAGCATGGGGAGGAGCAGAGGGAAAGGGACACGCATGCTCCACACTCAGCAGGAGCTTGACATGGGCTGGATTCCAGGACCCTGAGACCATGACCTGAGCTGAAATCAAGAGTTGGGTGCTTAACCAACTGAGCCACCCAGACACCCCTGCATTGTTTTACACTGTTAGCCATTTCTGTAGAGTTTTATTAGAAGACATTGAGATTCTCATATCTGTCTGTCCCTGGAAAATCACTGTGCATCTGTGAGAGGATGAGGGTGAAAAGGGCAAATGTTGTCTTACTGTTATTATGAAAACACTTTTGCCTTTGTGGATCCCCTAAAGTGTTCTCAGGGCCCTGTGAGAATCTTTGGCCTAGGCAACCTAGTGTGAAAATTTGAGGAAAAACTTGCTGAAATGATGAATACTTCTGTTTGGTCTACAGTATCAAATTCCTAATCTTTATAGGTACTTATAATATAATATTTATAACTTCATACCTTCATGAGCCAGCCTACTGAAAGAATGCCTTTTTTCAAGATAACTTAGATTATAGGTTTTACACTAAACCAAATAGAAATATAGATAGATGGCAGGTCATGTTATAATCTCCATTGCCAATTAATAATTAGAAGGGATTGCTAGAAGATTAGGAGATGTCTATGCTCGTGAATGCCAGAAGCCCCACGCTGCTTCTCTCATGGGACCACAGCCAAGAGAGAGACACCAGGAATGAAGCCAGGCAGTGAACGATGCTTCTCTTTAAGGCTTGGACCCCTGTTCCCAAGGCCTCCTCAGCTCCTCAAGGGACAGGTCTGAGTGCCAAGGCACCCTTACCTCCAGTGCTGGGAGAGCTCCAGGCCATGGTTCTCAGACCTCCATGTGAGAATATAACAGAGAACTGGTCCCCAGAGGGGACTGAAGGTCAAGAAACCAAAAGGCAGACACCAGGCAGAGTACAACACAGAATTCAGAAGCCCTTAAACTTCTTACACTTTCTATTCTGTACAGTGAAAGCTCTGCATCCTGGGTCATCTGATCAATGTTTTTACATTAGATCAAAGTTCCACCCTTCAGGTGGAGGGAGGAGAGAAACCGCAAAGTCCTGGTGTGACAGCTTCGCTGGCCCATCTTCTAGATCCAGCACCCAGCCTGTGTCACGTGGACCCCCTCACCTTCTTGACATCTCTCTTTTAATAGTCTCAGGTGCATTTTTATGAACGAGTTAAATACTTGTGTGTCCCTTTACCGTAAAATGTTACTCAATCTTCTAAACATGAGACACTAAGCAGAGGACACACGAACAGGTCCATTCATGGCTATAAACTGAGCTGAGGTAAACCCGGAAGTAGGAATTTGGATAAAAACCCCTTAAAAGGAAGATCAGGAACAGCTGTTTAGCATCCTGTGTTATAGTAATAGTATCCCTCCAAAGAGCTATTCATGTTAGCCAGAATCCCAACTCTGATTCAGAGTTTAGAGCAACCATTACATGTCTAATCTTTGAATCAATATGTTAAGCGCTTTTTGTGTGTTTTTTCCAAAGTGATTGTGGAGGCTCTTTCTTTTGAGCTGAGGGAATTCCAGTATGGGTTCTTCAGCTTTTGTTGATGCAATAGACTTTCATATACAGAGGTTTTTCTTCCCCTTTATAAAAGAAATACCCATATTTAAACCTCATGTTTAACTACAGCCCTCTACGTGGTATCGTTACCCTTAAGAGGGAGAGCAGTGCGGCATTCAGAGGATCTGGGGAGCCTGTCCCCTCCCTTCGCCCGGCATCTGTGCAGGGCAGCTGTGTGGGTAGAACCTTGTTACAATGTGCTACCTTCATTTATCTGTTAGGAGACTGGGAATATTGTGCAGGAATATAATTCTTTACTTTTAAAATAATTAGTAGGGAATACAGACCAGTTGGATTAATAATGCCTTCCTAATCTATAATCAGGATGGAAACCAGATGAACTGTAACTTCATTCCTTTGGATATAAAATTAGACCTTTGGGAAGACTTGCCAGCAACCTTTCAGCTGAAACAGAATCGCTCCTTGGTAAGACTAGTCCTATGCATTTGTTTTAAGTTAAAATCTGTTGAGTAATTTAAGACCATTTTGAGTTTAAGAAAAGCAAAGTTACCTCCTGGCCTGGTGCAGAGTCAAATCACTGGTCACATTTTCATCAGTGCGGGCGCTGCCTGTGATTTACCTTGTTGCTGAGAATAAATGTGAGATCTGTTTCCTTGCTGAGTGATCACACCTAGGGTTGCTGTTTCTGTGGATAGAATTATCCTCACATCGTTTAATTTCTCTTTCACAGGATTAGCAACTGTGATATTCGTATCTGACACAATCTCATTTTATCTCTGACGGTTAAGTTCTATCAATGACAAATTCTGAAAGCAGGGACAGTGCCGTGCCAGGGGACCCTGGCACCCTCAGAAGCACCAGCCCACAGCCGTAGGCCAACGACCTGCCTGGGAGGCCTTAAGCCTCATCTGTGGCGGATTGATCCTCACTGCTAAGAAGGGCCAGTGCATGTGGGGCTGGCTGCATGCAGAGTACCACTTTTTACGAGAAAATAGTGATTACGTTTCTGCCCTTGGAGTGGAAAGCAAACATTGCCCGTGGCTCAGTTGCACCCATCAAGGAAGAGGTAGCAGTGAGCTATTTTCTCTGATATCATTGAATCCTGATTCTCAGATTCCCAGAAAATAGCCAGTTACATACAATTGACTAATAATAAGAGCAATGCTGGTAAAAATGTCCCAGATTTATTGCTGGCTGCCTTCCTGTGAGAAGTCAGGTAGTCGGACAAAGCAGTTCTCAGATGTGGCGCTGAAGCCCGCCGCTGCTGTAAGACCCGCTCTCCCCAAGACCACTTTTGCCTGGGGCCCTGCTGGCTTTGTGCTTCTGACAGCCGGACCTCTTTCCGTCTCACTGAGCACATTGTTGCCATTGGTCCCCGTGTGTGTTAAGGACGTATGCTGGGTGTCCTGAGATGCACCTTTTGAGAGTCTTTGCGTTCAAAGAGACCTCTGCAGCCCTGGCCACAGGTGTTTCACAATAGATGTGAAGATGCATCAAACTGAAGCAAGCCTGAAATTGTGGCATTTGGAAACCTATTTGGAGATATAATAAAACAGCAGTTTTCTGATGGGATAAGGGGCTTTACTTTCAAAGGAAGATGCCTGGTGAGCTGGAAACTCTTTTCATTATCTCATGTTCTGCCAGATTTTGAGGTTTGTTCGAGAATGGAGTAGTCTAACTGCCATGAAGCAAAAGATGATCAGGAAAAGCGGGCAGCTCTTCTGTAGCCCACTTCTTGCTTTGGAAGAGATCATAAAGCAACAAACCAAACAAAATAGTACGAAAAGGTATGCGTTGTCTTTCTTCTTTATTTTGTAGTTCATTATTTGTCCTGGTATTTATGCCGGGGGCATGGCACAGGGTTGGGGGGTGGTGTCTGAGACATTTTATGTCGTCGCTAATGAAATCCTGATGAGTTCAGAGAAAATCATACATAAAATAACAGCTTGTTTTATAGCACCATAATTAGATATTTTGTGAATTTGATCAGATCTGCTGGAAAGATCAGGTTTTCTGGGTCTTGGTTCCCATGAGTACCCACTTATCGGAAGAAAGGCAAGAGTGACAGACGGTGTGACCTGTGACCTGCCAAAGCCAGGACACAGTTTACCGACAGGAAGACACGTCCCTGTTAGAAGAGCCACTGCCCTGTGCTCCTGTAGCGTGAATCTGGGTGCCGTGCAGCAGGGGACCAGTTCTGCTTGTCACATTAGCACCCAGAGGGTGGCAGGGAACTAGTCTCATGCCCATGGCCAGAAGCAAAAGATCCAGTGTGTCCTGTCTATGTTTTACCTTAATCATTGTAGGGTTTTCCTAATCCCTGTACACGTACTTTCCTTTCTTGGCTACATAGTCATCTCTGCCCTGCTCGGGCACACCCTGCGGGACCTCAGGCCCCCTTCGCCGTAGACTGTCCCCTCGGCAGGAAGCAGCGATGCACAGTCCGCTGTTCTGCCGCCCAGCTCCTGCATGGGAAGAGATCCCAAAGCACCAAACTGAACAGCCGCGTGGCAGAACAAGCTCCTGTGACTCTTGCTGTCTCCACACACCAGTCATGTGTCTTCACCCCACCAGTTTACGGTCTCTAGACTTTTCCATGCACACGGGTAAAAAACATCCATCAATGATGCGGGAGAAGGTGCGGCTGATCATCCAGCTCGTATCCCTGTGCAGTGACAGATCCCTTCAGCTGTTGCAAAATGTGGCATATGGTATCGTCATATGTGAGAAGAAGGAATGATACTTGTGATACATTATTTTTTTTTTTAAAGATTTTATTTATTTATTTGACAGAGATCACAAGTAGACAGAGAGGCAGGCAGAGAGAGAGAGGGAGGGAAGCAGGCTCCCTGCCGAGCAGAGAGCCCGATACGGGACTCGATCCCAGGACCCTGAGATCATGACCTGAGCCGAAGGCAGCGGCTTAACCCACTGAGCCACCCAGACGCCCCATTGTGATACATTATTAAGAGTAAAAATAAGTGTTAAAAAAAAAGGATGGAGATACAGATATATGTAATTGCTGTCATGACACAGGAAGTATCTAGAAGGGTACCCTAGAAACTCTTACTAGAGGTTTCTTTAAGACAGTAGTTCTCAGCTGAGGGCACTTTGACTCCCCCAGGATGGCAATGTTAGGAGACATTTTAGTTTCTTATAATTAGGGGCTACAACTGGGGAACATGTAGTGGCTAGAGGCCTGGGATACGGCTGAAAATCCTACAGTGAACAGAACTGCACTCCCAAGCAATTATCTGTTTCAGAATGTCGACAGTGCCCCTGATGGGGGGTCTTGCTATAGACCATATAATAGAGGAGTCGTGGAGATAGTAGGGACTGTATACTTTAGGCCTGGATCGCAAACTCCTTTGACTAAAAGCAAAGCAGGAACCATGAATGAACACATGAGATCAAGTGTAAAACCAGAAAAGGTTGAGGTAGGGGGGAGAAGTATGACAAATTGGGAAATGCCTAAACCATCTGAAGTCATTCAAATTCAGGTTAAAAGTAAAATACTATACGAATCAGTTAAAGCCCCTTGACTGCTTGGATTTGTCTACAGGCTACCAGTTTGGGACTCACCTAAACTCTTCCATAATGCTTAAATATTTCCCATGAATGCTTATTACTTTATGTAAAAAAGACATTTAAAATATACGTGTATGTTGATATATGTACATACACACACATGCACACACACCCCTACACATACAGAGACCCACCTATGTGTAACAGAAAGCATGATGCCTGCCTATGCTGTTCCTCTCGAGTCTTCTTCCTGTTCCCTACATTTTCTCATTGTCATCACCACCGTCTTAGTTGCAGTATTGGTCTTCTCTTTGCATCACCTTAATTTCCTTCTTAATTAAACTTACAGCCCACTCCAGCCATTTCTAGACTTGTTGCCTCCCCATCAGACATAGGCGACCACTTAGAGAACCACCCAAGAAAGCTGGCTGAGCAGGTGTAAAAGCAGAAGTTATGAAACCAATACAAACCCAAGTCAGGCACACGGTGTTACCTATCAGATTTTATGGAGATGCTATATGAAAGCTAAGACCTGTGTCAAGCAGAAGAGTCATCAGTCGGACTTATGTTTTCCAGAGCTCGCCCTGCCAGCAGTTGCTAAATGAGATCAAAAGGGAGGACCTGAAATAAGGAAGCAGGCTGCATTGGCTTTCTTTTACTGCCTTATGTAACACATCACCACAAACTTAGCAGCTCAAAGCAACAGAAATGTATTCTCTCACAGTTCTGTACGTCAGAGGCCTGAACTGGCCCTACTGGTTTCTCTGCTCTGGATTTTCTAAGGTTGAATTCAAGGTATCAGCGGGTTGGACTCTCCCTGAGAGTCCGGAGTCCATTTCCACACTCAGTCAGGTCGTTGACAGAATTCATTTCCTTGTGATTGTAGGACTTGGGTTTTCTTGCTGGCTGTCAGAGTGGGGCTTGCCCTTAGCTTCTAGAGGCTTTTTGCAAGTTCTAACACAGGAGTTCCTACATCCATGGGCCAGCAATGGTGTGTCAAATCCTTCTCATTCTTGGAATTGCTCCCTTAAGGTCAGCTGATTAGTAACCCGAGTTACATCTACAAAGTCCCTTTACCACAGGACCTAGATGAGTGCTTGCCTGAATACGAGAGACAGGAGGAGTCCTAGGGAGAGATGGTTAAGATACTGCCTCCCACATAAGTTAAGAGACATCAGGAGCGATGGGAATGGAGGAAAGAGGATGGGGAGTGGTGCCGAGAGGTAGATCTGGAGACCTCAGTGACTGATGAGAAAGAGGGAGAGAGAGGGAAGGCTCCAGGGAAGTGGACTTAGCAGAGCAACGAAAACAAAACTATGTGCCCGCAGAGGGGTGTGCTTTGGGGAAGCGTGCTTGTTCTTGCTGGACAACCCCAGCAGGTCCCGTGACTTGGCGTAACTGTGTCTCTCTTAAAGCAGGTGTGAGAGATTGGGCTGCGCAACAGCCCTGATTGGAAGTCTGTATGAGGAGCAGGTAGACACTGGATGCCTTGCCCTCCCACTGTCCTACCAGTTTACTTTCTGTTGAAACTGAACCAGGGAGGCACCAGCCTTGGAAACACCAGGCTTAGTGGAGATAAAGGAAAAGGCGTTCTATTGGAAACCAGCACTCTCCAGACCCCTTTCTTCACTTCCAGGGTACTACACACATTTTACTTTTGAGCAGAAAATTAGAGGATTCCTCTCTAAAAAAATGGAATGGCCTTAGAATAAAGACACACAGACAGTAATTTTAAGCAGTGGCTAGATCTCCAGCCAGATTATCCTGCAGTGATACACACCATTTCGCGCGCGGAACCCTTCCAAGCTCAGATTTTGCAGTTAGCTTTGAGTAGCTCCGTCTTAAATGTGGATGGAAGCCAAGGTCACCAGCTCTTGTTCCAGCTGCTTAGTTCGCATTTGTCAAAGGCAGGCCTGCTTTCCTCGGAGCCCTGTTAGGGTTAGGATGCCAGCGATTTCTTTGGACCCCCAAAGCAGGTCAGCATCCTAGAGCCCAGCACTGTTTTCACTGTTGTGGCCACTTTCCAACACACTCTTCTCTTCTCTAAAATTTGCCATCTAATACTGCCATGCCCACCCAGGAATTACTTCAGTAGGCAATGTTCTCCCTTCCCTATTCTTACACTAATCCTTTTGAGAGGTGGTACACTTACATCAGCTTCCCAGCAAACCTCAATGGAAAATTAAATGGTGGTAACACAGCCATGTTTGAGAAGATGCCAACCTCCCGCTTTGGGGTTGATTGATCTCTTTCTTGTGGTTTCCAGAATTTTGTGCTTAAATCTCTTGTAGGAAAGGTTATTTTTAGCTCTTAAATCTCTGAATAGATTTCTCAGCATCTTTTAAAGTTACTGAATTAGGTCTTGAAGCTTTTAAACACTGAATAATACCTGAGGCAAGGCTTAATATCCCCTTGCCCCTCAAAGCCAGGAAGTGTTTGAGTTCATTAGAATCCACTGAAATACTTTGGTAAAGTGCTTTTGTCGAGGGAATGAAATGGTTGAAGAATTGGGGGATGAGGGGATATGGGAAATTTAGGAACCAAAAGGGCAAGTTAGAGAATTCTGGAAGAATTCACTGTGATTCTTTTTTAATTTGCTTTCAGAATAACACACCAGTAGAAATGCAAATATATGAAAAGAGGGTCACTCTTCCCAGGAGAAATGCAGATTTAAAGCTATAAGGAGATATGTATCACCATTAGCAAAGATGTTTTTAACTGACATATCTTGTGCTAGTTTAAGTGTAACGAAACAGGTCCACTCCCGCCTTGCCAGTAGGCCCCTCTATTGGTTGGTACAAACCCAAAGGAGAGCGCGATGTGTCAAAATCTGTCCAAATTTAAAGCACCCAAGACCTTTGACCCAGCAGTTCTGCTTCCAGAAAATTTATTCTACAAGGATTTAATGTGTAGAAATAAGTGCGGGGATATTACAGCACTATTTGAGATAGCAGAGACTAGAATAGTGAACTAATGGCCATTAATCAGAAACTGGTTAAACATATTATATGGTTTATTGAAATAATGGAATAACATGTCATCATTAAAAAACAGGGTGACCCGTATGTACTAATGTGGAAAGACCTCTCAGATGGATGTGTAGGTAAAAAAGAGCAAGGTGGAGATTAGTGTTTATTATGCTACCATTTGCTTTTTAAAAAAAAAAAAAAGTATAATGAGGAATGACTGCTAATGAATACAGGTTTCTTTCTGGGGTGATGAAATTGTTCTGGAATTAGTGGTGATGGCTGGACAACCTTGTGAATGAACTAGAATGCCCTGAAATGTAAACTTTAAAATGGGAAATTTTATGGTATAAGTTATATGTCAGTAACAATACTGAGAAAATAAAAGGTATAAACCTATACACAGAAAAACATTCTAAGAGGATGTGTTAAAAACTGATCATAGAGCTAACTTTGGAGGAGGGCTGGAAATGGATGCTAAACTTGCTCTTCACCATATACACCACTGCCTGCCTTTTGAATTTCGAAATATGTGCATGTATCAGCTAGTCAAAAAATTAATAGTTTATAAAAACCAAATCTGTTAATTATTAAATCTACTTTAACAGAAAAGCAAATTTCTAAGATCTTACCTACAATTACAGAATTCCATTGTGATTTAACTTTAATTTTATTGTCAAGATACCAAATTAAGTACTTGGAAATATGAAGAAATTCATGTTTAAACTAATTAAAAAGGAAAAAAATTACAATAAGTGTAAACTACCAGAGAAAGTGGGCCATGCTAATTAGAAGAAATTAATTGGGTAATTGCATTTTACCTACTTAAATTCCCCCGTCACCTTTAATTGGAATAACTTTCCTCTTTACTTCCAGTCCCTAAACCATTGTGTGGTATCAGTAGTGTTGTGTAATAAGGTTCTGAATCCCACATCAAGAGTGGCTTTATTTCAGTGGAAGATTCCATAAGCCCTGTATGGCTGATAATAATGGAAACAGCCTTAGGAATATAGAAGATGTGATGAAACCTGGTTAACTAAAAAGAGAATCACTTTCCCCCAGTACGCTGATACCCTATTGTAACCGATCAAGGTGGCTGAAGGAACCTGGACAAAAAGGCCAAGAGGGAGGTACACATGCAGGAAGAGATTCTCCACACAGCGTGGCAAGCTCTTTACTCACAGCTGTCAGTTGTGCGTGGATTTGGTTGTTTCTTATTCCTACACCCACTCCTCTTGTCCCCTAAGTGAAAACTGGTCCAGAGGATACTGAATGACTCTTGAAAGACTTAGAAAAATAAATCTTGAAAAAACCACTTTGGAACAGAAATGTGTTTCCCACACGTGGAAGCCAATGGAAAGGTAGGAAATATTCCCTAATATTGGTAATTAGCACCATGAAGATTCCTGTCTTGGCTTTTCTCCTCTTGCTTTTACAAGGAGGGATAGGAGCATGAAATAGAAAAACTTAGAAGAGAGGAAATCTACTTAACATGTAATTGTTTTAGATACATCACCAAAGAAGATGTTGCTGTAGCCTCATTGGACAAGGTGAAGAAGGATGGGGGCCATGTCCGTCTCATCACAAAGGAGTCCGGGCCACAGGAACTTCCTACACAGTAAGGTTTCATTTATGAGGAGGACCGTAGTACTATGTGTCCTCCTTTAGAGTTCTGTATTCATGTTTGTGATCATGCTTGACCTTGATGTGGCCACTTACAGGTTAGAAAGAGCTTTCACGGTATGGTAGCTCCTCCATTCTCCTAGTAACCCTGTGAGGAGTAGGATGTCCTCACCTTAGACATCAGAAGGACCCTGAGACCAGGTAGACCAAGTGACCCACCCAAAGACACTAGATGTTCCCAGGCATGAGCTCTATCACAAGAAGCTTTTTCTTTTAACGCTTCTAACAGCCACGGAAAATAGGCAAGCAGTTGTGGTAATTCCATGTAGGACCTTTCAACATAATTGAGGAATGTGCCTTTTCCTTTTAACAAATTGAGTGCATGTCCTGTCATGTTTCATTTCTCATTTTAATTCAGTCAAATCTGGATATACCTGTAGAGGCACATACTTAGCAAGTCTTCCATTCCAATTCCTAAAAACACTGTTAGCACCTTGGCTCTGTCACTCTGTGGGTGTGACTGTCTGCTGTAGGCCAGCAGGGGCTGCCACAGGGTGTCATGGAAGCCTGTCCTCCTGCAGTGTGTGGTCCAACACACGCAGAGCATAGGAGCCCCAGCTTCAGGTGGGGTTTCACATTAGTCCGTCCTTTCTTAGGCTGAAAAAGGATTTTCTAACTTCTCATTTGCCAGCTTCCCCAGGTATTTCCAAGTCTGATTGTTTAACTTGAAGATATCTAAATTCCCAAGAGAGGCAGCATATTTGTATTCAAATGAATTTTGTAACACCCCCATTCTTTCCTTTATTTGGCATGGAGCATCAAGTGCTGACTCTCTGTTGTTTCCACACTGAATCGCAGAATCTGTGGGTCCTGCATTTACTGTTTATCCGTACAGAACCTTTGAAGACCGTTCATTATTTGAAGTAGTGATTCTTTGGTATTAAGTGCTCATTAGTTAGTTATTGCATGTTTTGCTCAATTCTAGAAAGTTCCTTGATGATGGAGTATGTGTTCCATTTCTAAATCCCTGCGTAGCCCAAGCTGTTCTCACTGGGAAGCCTTCTATATCCAAAGGCTATGTGCAAGCTGTGGATAATGAAGGAAATCCACTTTGCCTTCGCTGTCAGCAACCCACTTGCCAAACTAAGCAAGAGTGTAAAGTGAACGCTTGGGATTCACGGTTTTGCTCTCTGAAATGTCAGGAAGAGTTTTGGATTCGATCTAATAACAATTACCTGCGAGCCAAAGTATTTGAAATTGAACATGGTGTGTGTCAGCTATGTAATCTGAATGCACAAGAACTCTTTTTACGTCTGAGAGATGCCCCCAAAAGCCAGAGGAAGAATCTTCTGGATATTACCTGGATCTCAAAGCTCCCACTGGAACAGGTAAATTATAATTATGTGACAGAAGTCTGCATTGTACTGAGTGATGAATACTGACTCAACTTTTTTAACTTTTTAATATGGCAATTTTTGAAATAGACATACAAAAATAGAAAAATCAACCCACAGACCCATCACCGAACTTGAACAGTTATCAGCATTTTGCCTTCATTTTCATTTGTCCCTCACCTCAGTCGTTTTTTTCTCCTGGGATTATTTTAAAGCAAATTCCAGACAACATTTTTTTTTTTTTTTAAATAATGTCTACATCCATTGTGGCACTTGAACTCAAGACCCTGAGATCGAGTTGTATGCTCTACCAACTGAGCCATCCAGGTGCCCCTCATTTCCTCTTTAAATACTTCCATTATGTACCTCTCACAGAGACTTCCTTCCACCCTCCTTCTTTTTGTCTCTTTTTAAAATATAATCCTGTAGCCCAGTGCCCATTATCATACCCAAAACAATTATCATTACTTAGTAACTCCAGGCTTGGTTTCCCAGATTGTCTCAAAATATCTTTTTGCAGTTGCTTTGTTCAAATTAGGATCACAATATGATCCACACACTGCATTTCTTCATTATATTTCTTATGTTCCAATTAATCTATAATATCACCCCATTCCTTTTTTTATACCATTGACTATTCAAGAAACTGAATCATTTGCCTATAGGATTTCCTACATTATGGATTTGTCTTCCTGTATCCTCATGGTATTATTTGACATGTTTCCCTATCCCCCTGATTCCGGAATAATAGTTATAAGATATTGTGGCTTAATTAGATTCTGATTAAATTATTTTGGGAAGAGAGCTTAACAGATGATACATTCCATCAAGAAGTACCTATGGTCTGGTTGTTCCACTTTTCATGATGTTAGTATTGAACGACAAGAGGAAGATAACCCCCAAAATATAATTACAATGAGAAGAAAATATTTATGTTCATCCCACTGTAAAATGTAATTCTGGCAGAGCAATTTATGGAAAAAATATTACTCTTAGAAAACAATAACCAGTTTTCACTTTTATTTCCAAAATTCAACTGGTTTCTAATGTTGTGATCTAATCGGTTCTAAGTTCCAAACTAGAGAAAAATGTTTAATTTTAAAAGTCACTCCTGAGCCATTCTCTCCCCACTAAAGTAATGGATAAATTTCTGCCAGTTGGTCAAATCAGACATTTTTATTTGCCTAGTATCACCAAATTATGACAGAATTAATTAATTAAACATCTCTACAAGATGAATTAGCATGACTTTGAGGGCTAGGGAAATATACTATTTCCTTCATGATACCCAGAGTTCCTGAAATATCCTTTAGTCTAATTGGTGAGGGACACACGCACCCATCCCAGGGGTGTCAGCCAGACGGCAGTAACTGTCTGCTGCCTCAGAGCAGTCTTCCAGAAGACACACAATGAAAGGACACAAGGACATTCTGAAAGCAGCCTGTCCAGGAACAGAAGTTATTACATAGTATGCTATTAAAAGTGTTCCAAGGCTAGAGAGCACCATAGGGCTCATATTGGCGAGGACCACTCCAGAGAGGGAGTGGTTGTTTTAAGAGGTAAATTTAGGATGCTGAAGACTGACCCATGTGACTGGGAACTACTAGAAGGAATAGAGAAGCACCTCTGGATTAGAGAGTCCGCCCGAGGAGAGACTGTCGTGAGCAAAAAAAATGATTACAAAAAGCAGACAAAATGGATATTCTTTCCTAAGAACGTGTCATTTGCTTGACGCACAAGATGGCCATCTGTAACTGCTTCTCACAAGGCTGGCCTCAGCTGGACAGAGTTCACTGCTCCACCCTGCTGCCTCTTGGGGCTCCTCTCGGGCTGGGCACTGCTGGTTAGGTCCCTCTGCCTCCACGTGTCTGACAAAGTGTGTTAGATCCATGACACAGGTTCCCCTGGCCAGCAGCATGCAGCGATTTTAATTTCGGCCTTGTCCAAGATCATGCAAATACGAACAAGCTTCATGCTCATCTTTATCATATTGAAAAAACTACAATGCTGAGCTGGATTTACTGTCTCGAGCAGGATGCTAAAATACATCCCATTTTAATGTAGGTCATCAAGGATAAAATATAAAGTGCATATATGTGAGCTGGACTAAATAGTGCTGCTTTACGTGGACAACTTTGTCTATTCTAGATAGGCCAGTGAGAGAGATTTGTTGTGGAAACTTCGTTCCAGTCCATGGAACTGGGGAGGTTCCCAGATGAATGGCATAAAGGTTCCGGGTGACAGCTGTTAAACTTTCACTGTTTATAATAACAAATGACTTTAGGTCAATAATTAAAGATTATTTGACTCAGTAATATTCAGAATTTTTTTTAATTTCTAATCTGATCTCATTCTTGTCACAGTTTTCTTTACTGACTATCTAAACTAGCTCAAAGGTGCAGAAGCAAGTAATTTTTCCCCATCTGTCAGGAGTCTTGGTACTTTATACTTGCTTGTAATTTTTTCAAAATGGGTTAGGTAAGGGAAAAAGAACTTTTTCTAGAAACATATTTTATTGCTTTCAAATTGCTAACCTAGAGACTTTTTCCTATTCACAATAAAAGCTATAAAAAGCCATCCTAATGTATTTTTTGCTGTGATTTTGCTGTATAAACATGATTGCACAAGGCAAAACCACCAGTTCCCACAGCATATGTTGAAAAGTGCTGATCTTGTGTTCTTACTGCAGCTTAATGAAATGATAAGAAGCCCAGGAGAAGGGCATTTCTGGCAGGTGGACCACATCAAGCCCGTGTCTGGTGGAGGAGGACAGTGCTCCCTGGACAACCTGCAGACGCTGTGCACAGTGTGTCACAGGGAGGTGAGTGACACTATGCAGACCCATGTGGCTTCATCCTGGGACAGCAAAGAAAAGTGTGTACACAGGCGTAGGAGGCTGAGTGGATGAAGCCGTATCCCTGGTCTGGGTTCCGAGATGGCTTTATTCCCTTCATCACCTGAGTTTCCTCTCAAGGCTGATAGGAGTTCCCAGTCCCAGACAGAAGAGAAGCTGCTTTCCTTTGAATTCATTCTGGGACAGGGAATTGTCACCACCGCCTAGAAGAAAATGAATGTAACTTACATGGTGTGGAAGTGACCCAGACCATCAACCCAGCAGACTGGTGAACTGAGGCAGTGATATGTGTTGACGTTTGCAGCTAAGGCTATCTTGACATGTCAGAGAACATTAATAAATTCTTTCCAGGACCCCTCCTTCAGTTCAACATGCAGACATTACACTCTTGGCCAAAGTGCAAAACTTGTTAACCTTGGCTCCTTTTTGAGCTATTACCTGTTGCTTAAAACCGCAGGGGAAAATAGTTACCAACAGTATTATTTACCAACTATTATTTACCAAGTAGCATGGACTTTTAACAGGCCATCTAGCAAAAGGATCTGCTGATTAAAGTTTTCTTAGAAAGAAGCATACATTCAATACGCACTTTGTATCTAACTCTTTCTAATTGTGACAGGATTTAAGCATTTTCCCATGTTCCCATAATAAGCATTTATGTTTATCATCAAAAATGGCTACACGTTATTCTATTGAGTATATGTCTGCTATAATTTATTTAGCCACTCCCAGACTGATGAACATTGAAGTGGTTTATATCTCCTGTTTACACACTGTTCTTTCTGTTTTGAGGTTGTTCCTTTAGATTCTCACATGTAAAACCACGGAATGAAGGGTTTGACCGTAGGAATTTAACTCCAAGCAGTTTACCAAAGGACTGTGGTCTCCTCCTGTCTCCCGACTCTGTTGGGGGATGAGAGTGCCCATTGAACTGAGCGAGCTCATCAGTGCTCATGTGAGGGCAGAAGAAGGGCCTGCCACTATTTTGTTTACCAAAGATACTAAGGGTTCTAAAAATGCTAATCAGTGGTATTGACATTTCAAAAACTGTTCAGATCCTTTGCCATTGTTCATACTGTATAAGCACTTTTAGCCTTATTTTAATACTTTAGGTTCCTCAGTTTCTTCACAAATACAATTCTTACATAAAATGGATCTTTTAAGTAGGGTTTTTTGCTTTCAGTTTTAACCCTCTTCTCTCTCCCCACACCTGCCACCTGGATAACTTCACATACCTGAACTTCAACTGGGAAAAAAGTCATCTGATTTCTCAGCCATGAAAATTATTGGCACATGCAAGACCTATTAAGAGAATTACTATGTAGCAAAAAGAAAATCCACCCCTTCTGTAATCATTTTTAGATTCTCATGAGAAATTTTATTTGTGGAAATAGCAGAAGAATCCGGTTTTGATCTACCTCACTTTGTTTTTCTGCATTGGCTTGGGAGTGGCTTCTGAGCCCCCAGAATGGAAAGCCAGTAGGCCTTACATGCACCACACTGGGAGAAATCACAATGCCTTATGTATGCCCTTACTTAGATGAGAATCAGGGCCTCCTAAAGTCTTCAAATGAGGGATTCACAGTCTCACTGGGGAGTAAGTCATTCTCCAAAGCATCTGGTCCTAAGTGAACCTAGGACCCTGGGGCATTTACTAGAGCTATTGGGGTCCTCTTGTGGCATGGTGTGCCATCTGAGGGCAAAGCACTGGAACTGGGCATGGTGATAATGTAGATTTTTCCAGACTAATAAAGTTTTTGAGATTCCAAAACCAGTACTCTCTTCCTAACAGGTGTACCATTTATATTTTTTACCTTTTAGAGAACTGCCAGACAAGCTAAGGAAAGAAGCCAGGGGAGAAGACAGTCTCTAGCATCAAAGCATGGATCAGACATCACAAGATTTTTGGTGAAGAAGTGAAGTATAAAAATTGTTGAATGGATGACAAATGGTTTACATGTGGAGGAACCGAACACATTTTTTTCATGTTTCTCATATGAAGAGTGAACATTTTTAGAGCAAAAAATCAAGAATTCAACTTTCCCTTTCGTATTATATGCTTTTAGTGTCCAATACCTTTTGAAAGTTCTTAACACAAACTGAGATACAACACTAAATATTTCTGTGATCTTCATGATTTTAGGCAGGCTCTCAATTATGTTTCAGTAAGGTTTTGTTGAGCTTTCATTTCCCCCTGTAGTACCTTAATCATGGTATTATGCATAGATTGTATTTGAAAAATATACTCTCAATTACTTGGAAAATGCTGCTGGATTAGTATTGGTTATGAACTGCTGCGTGTAGATTCAGAACACTGGAAAACTGCAAGGGAAATTTCGGAGGCAAATCATCCAGGAATTCGGGGGCAAGCATGAGCACCCTGGTTTGTATGCGAGAGAGATTCTTACTCACTGACTGCCTCCAAAATGGGCTTTGAGCACACATTTTGAGTGTTGCCCTATTTGTTTTATTTCTTAGCAGACTGTCTTTATTGAAAAGATGCTTCTGAAAATAAGCTAATTGGACCTACAGTGTTTGTAGATAATTCGGTGTTCTAGATTTGTTAAACCTAGTAATTGTTAAAACTGTTTAAAAACTGAAAACATAGAATGTCACTTGAACTTCATTTGTCAGTTAGTTAATTTTAATGCATAAAACTACGTTCAATGTCCAAGTGCCCTTTATCTCCTGGCTATTACTTTGTTTTTAAAATCCCAGTCTTATTAAAAGTGTATTTTTACTGGTACCTCTTTTAAAAAGAGTAGGACGATAAAACACTTTATACTAAAGCATGAGCAGATGGAAATATAGGTTTCAAAAAGACAGTGGTAATACTAATGTATCATTGATATTCAAAAATAAAAGCATGACAATAAAACAAAACCAGGTTACAAGTCCTGCAAAATATCGAAGTCATGCGAGGTAAGGTAGAACTACACAAAATACAGGCCCAAGGAAGAATTACATTCATGAAAGTCCTGTTTGTAAATACTGTTTGGATGTAAATTTCATTTATTTATTTGAGCACTTTACAGTCTTCATTAGTTGCTGATGTTTTACAATGTAGAGGACTTGCTTTTAAAGAAAGATTATTCAATCATGAATTATCCTTTTAGAGTTCTTAAGGTTTATAACTTCTATTGTATGAGAGCAAATAGTGGTGTTTATTTTATAAATTAGGTCGGGCTTGCTTTCTCCTCCTTTCTGCTTTGCTGGTCAGGCTCTTTGCAGTTTTCTGCCTCATTGCCAGGGTAACCTAGGATTCCTCACGGCTGAGAGCTGAGAAACCGGCTGAGAGCTGAGAAACCGGCAGGCTGTTTTTCCTCAAGCATGGGGTGCTTGCAAGTGAGACTTAGGTCTAAGTAGGTCAGGTATCAGTGGAAGTTACCTCTTTATTTTTCTTTTTAAGATTTTATTTATTTATTTGACATAGAGAGAGAGATCACAAGTAGGCAGAGAGGCAGTCAGAGAGAGGGGGAAGCAGGCTCCCTGCCAAGCAGACAGCCCGATGCGGGGCTTGATCCCAGGACCCTGAGACCATGACCTGAGCTGAAGGCTGAGGTTTAACCCACTGAACCACCCAGGCGCCCCAAGAAGTTACCTCTTTAGATTAAACTAAGGTGGCAGTTCTAGTAACAATGTTCTCAGATGTAATAAATGAATGATGGTTTAAGATGAAATGACCCATGTGCCAATTTTAAAATACTAACCAAATAAAAATGCCATAAAAGCATCAAACAGAATAAAATACTTAGGAATACATCTAACTAAGGAGGTAAAAGATATGTACACTGAAACTACCAAACTTTAATGAAAAAAAAAAAACTGAAAAGACACAAATGGAAAGATAGTCCATATTCATGGGTGGGAAAAATTTATATTATGAGAAAGTCCTTACTACCCAAAGAAATCTAGAGATGCAGTGTAATCCCTATTAATATTCCAGCAGCATCTTTCATAGAAATAGAAAAAAATTTTTCTTTAAAATTTGTTTGGAACCACAAAACTAAAAATAGCAAAGCAATCTTGAGAAAAAAGAACAAAGTTGGAGGAATCAGGCTTCCAGATTCCAACTATATTACAAAGCTGTAGTAATCAAAACATTATGGTATTGCTATAAAAACAAATCCATAGATCAATAGAAGAGCATAGAGGGCCCAAAAATAAAACTATGTCAACTGATTTTTTTTTTTTTTAAGATTTATTTTAGAGACACAGTACAAGGGGAAGGGCAGAGAGAATCCTCAAGCAGACTCCCTACTGATCGTGAAGCCCAATACCAGGCTGGATCTCACAAACCTGAGCCAAAACCAAGAGCCGGCCACTTAACCAACTGAAGCACCCAGGTGCGTCCCTCCCCCGCCTTATTAAATTTATTTTAGAGTCAACTGATTTTCACAAACGAGCCAAGAATATAAAATTGAAAAAGGATAGTCTCCTCAATAAATGGTGATGGGAAAACTGGACCCCCTACTTTATACCATGTACACAAATCAATTCAAAATTGATTAAAGACTTGAATATAAGACCTGAAACAATAAAACTCCTCAAAGGAAAAAGGGAAGATTTAGGTCTGAGATGGTGCTAGGAAGACCTTTAGCTTACCTCCTTCCACAGACATACCAAATCTATACCAACATCTAGAGCAGCTTCCCCTCAAGAAGAACTGAGGACTGATTGAACAGCTTCTGTACAACAAGATAGAGAGGCCACACAGAGAACAGCAGGAGAAACAGAGACACAGTAACAACAGGAAACCCAACCCTGATGTAAACTGCAGCAGGAAGAGATAGCACAGAGGTACCCGTGCACAGATTCACCCATGCTGGGGCATGGAAAAGGAGCAGCAGTTCAAAAGGCAACTAGACTAACTGACTAACTAACTAGGCAACTGAACTAACCCTAGGCCATTCAACAAACAGTGAAGGAACTGCTAGAACTTCCCCCGGACTCATGTGCTAGTGATTACCACTGTTTACATTCAGCCTTACCTTGACGGCACAGATGGGCTCAAGGTCCCAGCACTCTAGCCAGCCTGCTGCATTAGCAAACACCAGGTCCCTAGCCCACACCAGCCTGACATCTTCCCAACACGGCCCCTACACGCATGCCTGCCCAAGCTCCAGCTGTCCCTGCAATGTGAGTCCAACACAGTCAACACCAGATCCCTCCTTTAGTGTGCCCATTACAGCTGCAGTCAACTTCCCCAGATAATACAGGCACAAAGCACTCCAGGACACCCTATGCCTCTACCTGTTTTAGCTCCAGCCAACTCACCTCAATGCCCTGAGGTCCCCTAAGCCACACTGACTATAGCTGGAACCATCCCTCCAGGATTCTCCAAGCACAGAATGCCAGGGGACCATCTAGCCCATGCCCACTTCAGTTCCAACTATCCCACCAGGGCACCCCTTTGTGAAGCACCCAGGGACCTCTGCTCTCTGCCTGCTTCAGCCCCAGCCGTCTTATCAGAGTGACCCAGGGTAGACTGCCCAGGGAATTCTCAGACCACACCCCTCACTGCTCTAACCAGCCAGCCCAAACCATCAGACATACACAGTCTACATCAGGGATATTCCTGTACAAGTCCTATCATCCAGAATGGGAGAGGTAGCTGCTTTGCCTAATTCTTTCAAACAAACCCAGAAAGTAAAACAAAATGAAAACAGAGGAATATCCTCCAAACAAAAAATATGAGACAAGGGGCGCCTGGGTGGCTCAGTTGGTTGAGCAGCTGCCTTCAGCTCGGGTCGTGATCCCAAGGTCTTGGGATTGAGCCCTGCATTGGGCTCCCTGCTCAGTGGAGAGCCTGCTTCTCCCTCTCCCTCTGCCTGCCGCTCTGCCAACTGGTGCTCTCTATCTATCTGTCAAATAAATAAATCTTTTTTAAAAATGAGACAAAACTTAAGGGAAAAAACTAATTGAAATGTTGATCATCAGTCTATCTTATAAGGAGTTAAAAGTAATGGTCAAAAAGATGATTGTCAGGGGCGCCTGGGTGGCTCAGTGGGTTAAGCCGCTGCCTTCGGCTCAGGTCATGATCTCAGGGTCCTGGGATCGAGTCCCGCATCGGGCTCTCTGCTCAGCAGGGAGCCTGCTTCCCTCTCTCTCTCTGCCTGCCTCTCTGTCTACTTGTGATCTCTCTCTGTCAAATAAATAAATTAAAAAAAAAAAAATCTTTAAAAAAAAAAAAAGATGATTGTCAGACTTGAGAGAAGAGTAGATGAAAGATGGAAGTATCACAATTCCACATTTCAAGATATACTACAAAGCTCTAATAACTAAAAAAAATATGGTACTGACATAGAAATAGAAAAATCAAGGCAAGAGAATAGAGAGCCCAGAAATAAACAGATACATATAGGGTCAGTTAATCAATTACAAAGGAGGCAGGAATGTGCAATGAGGAAAAGGCAGCCTGTTTAGTAAATGGTGTTGGGGAAACTGGACCACTTTCTTACACCATACACAAAAATAAGCTCAGAATGGATTAAAGACCAAAATGAGAGACCTGAAACCATCAAAATCCTAGAAGAGAACATAGGTTGTTATTGCTCTGATATTAGCCATGGCAACATTTTTCTAGATCTGTCTCCTAAAGCAAGAGAAACAAAAGCAAAAGTAAATGGGTGGGACTACAACAAAATAAAAAGCTTCTGCACAGCGAAGTAAACCATCAATAGAACTAAAGGGCAAAGTATAGAATGGGAGAATATATTTGCGGATAATCTGTCCTATAGGGGTTAATATCCAAAATATATAAACAACTCCTATAACTCAATATTCCCCCCCAAAAAAAGCCAAGAAAAAAAGAGATAACGTGAATAGGCATTTTTCCAAAAAAGATATACAGATGGCAGATATATGAAAAGATGCTCATCACTAATCATCAGGGAAATGCAAATCAAAGCCACAATAAGGTAATACTTCACATCAATCAGAATGGGTAATATCAAAAAGACACAAAATAACAAGTGTTGACAAAGATGTGGAGAAAAAGGAACCTCATGCACTGTTGGTGGGAAGGCATATTGGTACATTCACTATGGAAACAGTATGGAGGTTTTTTTGAAAATTAAAAATGGAAATAACATATAATTCAGTGATTCCAGTGCTGGGTGTTTACCCAAAGAAAATGAAAACACAAATTTTAAAAGATATATACGCCCCTATGTTTACTGCAGCATTCTTTACTATAGCCAAGATATGGAAGCAACCCAAGTAGCCACCAGTAAATGAATGGATAAAGAAGATATATATACAATGGAATATTACTCAGAAAAGAGGATGAAACTACCATTCCTGACAATATGGATGGACCTAGAAGGCATTATGCTACATGAAATAAGTCAGACAGAAAAAAGACAAATGCCATGTATTTTCACTTATTTGTGAAATCTTTAAAAAAAAAAAAAACCAGAAACAGACTCTCAAATACAGAGAACAAACTGATGGCTGCCTAAAGGGAAGAGAGGCAAAACAGGTGAGGGGGTTAAGTAGTATAAACTTACACTTACAAAATAGTAAGTTATCAGGGATGGAAAATATAGCACAGGGAATACTATCAATAATGTAGTGATTTTGTATAGTGAAAGCTGGTGACAACACTTACTGTGGTGAACACTGCATAATGATGAGTCACTACATTGTACAGTTCCAATTAATATAACTATGTCAACTATACTTCCGAGAAAATAGAGGGTGAGCTCCTTGATAGCAGTCTTGGCTATAGTCTTTTGAATTTAACATCAGTAGCAACAAAAGCAAAAATAAACAAGTGGGACTATATAAACCTAAAAACTTCTATAAAGTAATGAAACTATATGCAAAGACAACCTCCAGGAAGAAAAAATATTTGCAAACACACTCAGTAAGAGGTTAAT